AAAAACACAGGGTTTCGCAACACTGATTTGCTAAAAAAGCTTCCGCGCGAGCTCTTGCGAAATCTGAAGAAAACCATGGTTTTTCAAGATTTTCACAAAATGCTACCAAACGGGCTTCGCGCGCGCGCATGTCGAAATCTGTCGAACGCCCTTGCGCGTGTGCCGTCGCGAGAATCCTCTGCAACAAATGGGACGAAGTGCAGACGCGCGCGTCGTCGCGCGCGTACGCCGAAATCCTTCAAAACCCATCGGTTTCGGAAGGATTTCGAAATCGCGCGTCCAAAAAACCTACAAAAACCCAAGGTTTCGCAACACGGATTTTCAACAAAAGCGTGCGCGCGCGCTCTTGCGTCGTCGTCGTCGTCGTCGTCGCGTCCTCCCTCCTCCCGCGTCGTCGTCGTCGTCGTCGCCCACGTCGTCCTCTGTCTTTCCTCGTGTTCGTCGTCGTCGTCCTCTTTGGCGTCGTGGTCGTTTCCGTCGTCGTTGTCGCCGTGGTCGTCCTTCCTCCTCCTCCCTCGTCGTCGTCGTCGTCCGTCGTCGGCGTCTCGTCGTCGTCCCTCCTATTTCGTCGCCGTCGTCGTGTCGTTGTCGTCGTCGTCTTCCTCCTCCCTCGTCGTTGTCGTCGTCGCGTCGTCCTCCTCCTCGTCGTCCGCGTCGTCGTCCTGTCGTCGTTGTCGTCGTTGTCGCCGTCGTCGTCCTTCCTCCTCCCTCGTCGTCGCCTTCGTTGGCGTCGTCGTCGTCGTCTTCGTCGTCGTCGGCGTCGGCGTCGTTGTCGTCGTCGAAGTCGTCGGAGACGTCGTCGGTGTCGTCCTAGTCGTTGTCGTCGGTGTCGTCGTAGTCGGTCTGAACAGGTTTTGCAAACCAAGTTGCGGGTGGGTGGGATGTTTGCACGAGCAATGGAGAGGACAGCTTCAAGTCAGTCAAAGTGGATTGCACCACGTAGATTTCACCACGAAGATTGCACCACACAGGTTCTCCTTTCTAAAATAAATTGGATCTACCCCCCCCCGGCGTTATCACTACCCTTTTCGGGTATGTAAATCATATATGATTCTGACCACATGTCCATCCTAAATATGAAGTCACAATGTCCCAGGCCAACGGGTATCCCCCCCCTGAGGGTCCCTTGTAAAAACCACTATGCGGTGACATTTTTTGTTCTAACTTAACATTTTCTCACGAATCCCTTGCAAAAAATGAGACGAAGTGCACACGCGCGCGTCGTCGCGCGCGCATGCCGGAATCCTTCAAAAACCTTCGGTGCCGGAAGGATTTCGCAATCGAGTTTCCAAAAAACATACAAAAACACAGGGTGTCGTAACATTGATCTGCTAAACAAGCTTCCGCGCGAGCTCTTGCGAAATCTTCTAAAAATATTTTCTAAAAAAAAAGGGTTTTCAAGATTTTCACAAAATGCTACTAAACGGGCTTCGCGCGCGCGCATGTCGAAATCTGTCGAACGCCCTTGCGCGTGTGCCGTCGCGAGAATCCTTTGCAAAAAAATTGACGAAGTGCAGACGCGCGCGTCGTCGCGCACGTATGCCGAAAACCTTCAAAACCCATCGGATTCGGAAGGATTTCAAAATCGTGTGTCCAAAAAACCTACAAAAACACTAGGTTTCGCAACACGGATTTTCAACAAAAGCGTGCGCGCGCGCTCTTGCGTCGTCGTCGTCGTCGTCGTCGCCGTCCTCCCTCCTCCCGCGTCGTCGTCGTCGCCTACGTCGTCCTCTGTCTTTCCTCGTGTTCGTCGTCGTCGTCCTCTTTGGCGTCGTGGTCGTTTCCATCGTCGTTGTTGCCGTGGTCGTCCTTCCTCCTCCTCCCTCGTCGTCGTCGGCGTCCGTCGTCGGCGTCTCGTCGTCGTCCCTCCTATTTCGTCGCCGTCGTCGTCGTCGCCGGTGTCGTCGTCGTCTTCCCTCCTCCCTCGTCGTTGTCGTCGTCGGCGCCGCCGTCCTTCCTCCTTCTTCGTCGTTCGCGTCGTCGCCGTCCTCCCTCCTCCCTCGTCGTTGTCGTCGTTGTCGTCGTTGTCGCCGTCGTCGTCCTTCCTCCTCCCTCGTCGTCGTCTTCGTTGGCGACGTCGTCGTCGCCTTCGTCGTCGTCGTCGTCGGCGTCGTTGTTGTTGTCGAAGTCGTCGGAGACGTCGTCGTAGTCGCCGTCGTCGTCGTCGTCGTCGTCGGCGGCGTCGTTGACGTCGTCGTCGTCGGTGTCGTCGTTGTCATCGTCGAAGTCGTTGGAGACGTCGTCGGTGTCGTCGTAGTCGGTGTCGGCGGCGCCGTCGTCGTCGTTGTCGTTGTCGCTGTCGTCGTCGGCGTCGGTGTCGTGGCCAAGTGTCATGTGGTACGTACCGTCACGGTCTTGTGTTAAGAAGTCTTGCGACCAAGTTGCGGGTGGGAGGGTGGGATGTTTGCACGAGCAGTGGAGAGGACAGCTTCAAGACGGTCAAACATTAGTTACAACACATAGATTGTTTCACAACGTTGCCAACTTCGACTGCACCACACCACATGGATTGCACGACATGGACTGCACCACACATAGGTCGAAGAAAATGTTTTGCACAAACTAGATTGCAGACGACATGCTGCACAACATAGACAGCACACAGCAGATTGCACAGCATAGATTGCGCAACGTAGGTTTCACACTACAGGGTTGTGCAGCCTAGACTGGGCTGAAATGTTTCTCTGTCGTTGGAAGGGGGTGGGAACGTGCGGGGCCCGCTGATTCACTCGACCTGGTTCAATTTCACTCCTCATAATCTTCGTCCTTCTCATCCTGTTCCGTCCTTTCTCTCTCCCTCGTTCGTGCGCGCGGGAGCGCTCGGGGGAGGGCGGGTGGAGGGGGAAGGGGAGGGGCAGGAGGACGAGGACGAGGAACAAGAACAAGAGTGAGGAGGAGAATGAGGAGGAGGAGGAGGAGGAGGAGGTGGAGGAGGAGGAGGAGGAGGGTATAGCAGCACGAAAAGGCGGAGGGAGGAGGAGGAACAGGATGAGGTCCAGCGCAAACCCAAGATGCATCACCCATGCTGCGGCACGCCCTTCAGTCCCAAATCCCGCCCCGATTCCCCACAAGCATAAGTGCTCCTTATATGGGAAGCGCCCCCTTGAAAGTCGAGCGCACCATGTGCTTGTCAGACAGGCGAGAGCCCTGTTCAGGACCAGCCCTCCAGGCTTCTAGCTATACGTAAGGGATGTCATCCGGCTGAATCGCAAAAAGCAAATGAGTGCGTAGCGAGGGCTTAGTCTCGAAAACGAGCCGCCCTCCACCCGAGTAGCTCGTTCCGCAATGTATGGTATTGGCCATAACATTATGCATGGTGTCATTCGGAAGCCCACGTTTGAGAAAGGTTCCGCCCTCCATGTGTGGAGTTGCCGCGCATGCTAGATGTGTGAACCATCACAGACGAAGCACTCCCAAGCAAGAACCCAATATTCAAAATTGGTCGCACTCTATCTGAGCAAGGGGTTAGGGTTCTTCAGGTGAACGTTCGTGGCGCTGAAGCCAGAGCAATAGGTTGAAACCCACTCGCCATCTATCCTTGCAACTTCTGGTCTTTGTAGATAAGCGCGCGGTGCTACGACCAGAGCCACTTGAAAGCAGTCCGCACTCCACCCGTGTAACTGTTGGAATAGGTTCAGACGAGTGTTCGCGGCGCCGCAATCAGAGCCAATTGTTGAGACATTCCCTCTCCATCCTTGTAATTTTCGGATTTTGCAAACAAGCGCGCTGCGCTAAGACGAGTGCCACCTATTGGAAGCGGCCCGACTTGCTGGAAAATGAAAGCGTCAGGAGCAGAAGCAGCGAGGAAGTCTCAGGCGAAACGCCTGGCCCGCCCTTCCGACACGTCTGGCTGCGCGAAGGGGAGGATGCCATCTTAAGGAGAGAGCAAGAAAAGAGGCGGAGGATGTAGTTATAAGGAAAAGGAAGGAGCGAAGGAAGGAAGGAAGGAAGGAAGGAGGAGGAAAGAGGAAGAAGGAGGAAAGAAAGGGAAGAAGAGGTCAGAGAGAGGACCGATCCCATTTCCCCCCCTTCTCCTGGTGTCCCCGCCTTCCAGATATCCGACGTGACTTATTTTGTAACGTGGTCTTTCGGTTCACCACGCGGGCCCCTGGAGGTGCTGACCCCGTCTCCGTCCCGAGTCCCTTCTTGATGGCCTCGGGGCTTGGCAAGGGCCCTGGAGGCCGAAGACTGCTAAAAGCCTCCCGTTGCTGTTTTTTCACCACGCGACGGAGCCTGGGACCCCGACGTCACATACAGTCAACCCGCCCAGTAAGAACAAGCGACTTTCAAAGGATATCCGTGCATCCTCGCCCCTTCGGCCCATCCCTGGCAACTTTCGCCGGCCAGCCCCACCCGAAAAGGGCCAACATGGTTTGCCAAGGCCATTGCATCCTTGCTGCGCATCCTTTCTATATGACGCGTTCCAAGGATCGAGGGCGATGCCATCTCTTCCTCGGCGGAAGAGCGGCGGACGTGCGGCGGGAATAAAAAACGATGCCGCATTCGCCGGCGGAGGCCGGCGGGGGCCGGCGGAAAGCCGGCAGAGTGCGGCGGAAGTAAAAAGTGCGCCCTCAAGAGATCAAAGCGTTTCTGGGTTCAGGGCTTCCGACATCGCCCATATGGGTCGACTGCGCTCACCCACCCCCAGGCCCGCCACCTTGGGATGCGCTCTGGCCGAGATTCCGAAGCGAACATCTGGACGCGGCGGCCAGAGGCCCTCCCAGGAGGGGCACCACTCGGGTGTTGCCAGAAGTGCCCCTGGCCCAAGGTGCCCCCAGGAGTTCCAAGGAGGCCCCCACGGCCTCCAGAGAGCACTCCTCACGAGGTCCAGAGGGCCCCCGGGGCTCCGAAATGAAGCCAAAAGCTGGGGGCACCTTGGGCCAGAGCCCCTGAAGCAACCCCCGAGCATTGCCTCGATCATGGACCCTCGAACCTCGCGCCTCGACGGCCAGGCCCAGCGCGCGTAAGATCGGCGACCGCGGGCGGGCCGGCGAAAGAAGGACTTGCTGCCCAGCTTCCGGGACCGGCTCCGGCTCTGCAGCACCTGCGCAGCCACCAGCCAGCTGGAGTGGCGCCTCCCTCCGAGTCGTCGGTCGTCGCAGACGTTGTCGTAGTGTCCTCACGCGGAGGGGGAGGAGGAGGAGGAGGAGGAGGAGGAGGAGGAGGAGGAGGAGGAGGAGGAGGAGAGAAGGAGGAAAGGAGAAAGAGGAGGAGGAAGGAGGAGGAGGAGGAGGAGGAGGACTGCGAGGTGGAGATGGAGGGTGACGTGGAGGAGAACGGAGGATGGAGAGGAAGGAGGGATCGTAGATAAGGGAGGAGGAGGAGGAGGAGGAGGAGGAGGAGAAAGGAGGAGGTGAAAGAAAGCTTCTAGGGTTTCCATTTCTAGATTCTAGGGGGTCCTCGGGAAGTGCTGGATCCTCCTCAGCATCATATTCTTACTCTCGTTGTCGCCAGCGGCCCTCTGAACCCAGGCAAAGACGCGGCGGTCGTCGTCGTCGTCGTCGTCGCCGCCGCCGCCGCCGCCGCCGCCGCCGCCGTCGCCGCCACCGCCACCGCCACCACGCCACCGCCGTCGTCGAGCGCAACCGCGCTGCGCGGTCTAGGCCGAAAAGATGTCCCTGGCCCAGGACTTCGGTGCACTGCCTCTGTTCTGTCCCGATGTCTCCAGAGCTTTGGGGGGATAGGGAAAGGGGTGGGTACAACATTTGCTGCACGCAGCTGGTTTCGGCCCCGCTGCCTGGCGCTTTCCTCGATACACTGGCGCCTCTGGCGCTGGGAGGCGCTGGCAAGACCAGCTGCGTGAGCTGATTCGCTAACACCCCTTTCGCTAGCCCCCCTTGTCTGGCCCGAGAAGGCCGAGAGGTCCAGGGGTGATGGAAATTGCCAGCTTCCCAGCCGATGGGAAGGGGACTCCACGGTGCTAAAGTTGGTCAGATACAAATCAGGAGGGGAAAAAACACACAGACACAATTAATCGTCGATCCCCAGGAAAAATGGGAAAATATGGGAAGTGGGGGGAAGACAGAAACCCAGAAAATATTGGAAAATGTGGGGAATCCTTTAATTTGTGTGTATTTATTTGTGTGTCCTGGGGGCCCTTCAACAAAGAAGGAAGAGGAAGGCGACGATGAGGAGGCGCAAGAAGAGAAAGCAGCATGCGGCAGCCTCTGCGCACCGAGCCTCTCTTCCCCGACGTGCTCTCCCAGTTTCGCCCCCGGGCGAAGGCTGTCTCTGCGCCCCAGGACAATCGACCGCTGATCCAGGACGAACAGCAGTTCTGTCGAGGAGGTCGAGAGGTCGGGGGGGGTCCATTGGTTGGTGATTTGTTATGATCGAGGCGTCGGAGGTCGGAGTTATCTGCCTCCCAGGGTCTCGCCTTTATTATCTTGCACTGGGTGTCTAGAGCTCCGATTACTTTCGTTGTTCGCGTCGCAGCCCCCCTCCCCATCCCCCTCCCAACTGCAGGTTGACGCCCCTTTCCTCAGTCCTCACTGCCCCCGCTGTCCACAGCAGAGCAGTGCCCCCATCCGCCCCGACCATTTTATTTTCGCGTCGCAGCCCACCCACCCACCCCGCACGCCCCCCCCACCCCCCGCCCTCCCATAGGCCCCTCCGCCACCGCCCGCTGTCCTCCCGCAGCCCAGTGCCCCCTTCGCCCCGACCATCTCTTATGTTTCGCATCGCACCCTGCCCACCTCCCCCGCAGGCCCCCCGCCACCGCCCGCTGTCCCCGCTGCTGTTTTCCAGCAGCCCAAAAGCTCCCTCCGCCCCGACCACTTCTTTTTCGCGTCGCCGTCGCATTCCCCCCGCCCCACCTTCCGCGCGGGCCACCGCCGCGGTCACCGTCCCCGAGCCCGCCTACCCACCCCCCTCCCCTCGAGCAGCACAGTGCCTCTTTCGCCCCGACCACTTTATGCTTCGCGTCGCAGCCCCCGGCCCCCGCCCCATCCACCTGCCCCCAACCGTCCCCCCCCCCCTCCTCCCCCGCCGCCCGAGATAAGGTGTTACTGCGGCCCGTTGGTTGTTACTGCGGCCCGGTGGGTGTTAGTATGGCCAGGGGTCCTCCGGAGTGTATTAATTATCGAGTACGGTGAAGGGGGGGGGTGGGGGGCAAAAAAGGCTCCGCCCCCCCCCCCCCCTCACCGAAGAGCCTCTCGAAAGAGCCTCTGGTGCTCTCCGAAAAGCCTCTTGGAGCCGCCGAAGACCTTCTTGCAGTCGCATAAGAGACTCTTGGGCTCTCCGAAGAGCTTCGTGGGGCCTCCGCAGAGCTTCTTGGGGCATCCGAAGCGCTTCTTGGGCTCTCCGAAGAGCGTCTTGGGCTCTCCGAAATACTACGACTACGACTACGACTACTACCACTATTATTACTACTACTACGACTACGACTACGACTACGACTACGACTACGACTACGACTACGACTACTACTACTACTACTACTACTACTACTACTACGACTACTACTACTACTACTCCTACTGCTACTCATTACTACTACTATTATTATTTCTACTACTACTACAAACGACTACTACTACTACTACTACTACTACTACTAACACCACCACCACCACTACTACTACTACTACTACTACTACTACTACTACTACTAACACTACCACTACCACTACCACTACGACTACTACTACCACTACTACTACTACTACTACTACTACTACTACTACTACTACTACTACTACTACTACTACTACTTTTTCTTCTTCTCGTCGTCCTTCTTCTCGTCGTCCCTAACACCCTAGGGCTAGCACTCCCTAGCGCCAGTACTTCCTAGGGCTAGCACTCCCTAGCGCCAGTACTACCTGGCACTCCCTCGGACTAGCACTCCCTAGGACTAGTATTCCCTAGGGCTGGTACTCCGTAGTGCGAGTACTCCCTAGGACGAGTACTCCCTTGGACGAGTACGCCCTAGGGGTAGTAATTCCTAGGACTGGTACTCCCTGGGGCTAGCACTCCCTGCGGCTAGTACTCCGTAGGACTAGTACTCCTTATGAACGATATTACTTAACACCAACACTACAGCACCATTGCACTACCACACTACAGCATTACTACCACAATACCAGTACCACAACACCACAACACCGCTACCACAACACCACTAACACCGCTACCACAATACCACAACCACAACACCACAACACCGCTACCACAACACCACTACCACAGCACCACTGCCACTACCACAACACTACTACCTACTAACAACTCAACAACACTACCAACACCACACCACTAACACAACACTACCAACACCACACCACTAACACAGCACACCACTACCAACACCACACTTCTAACACAGCATACAGCACAACCAGCCACTACCAACACCACACCACTAACACAACATTACCAACACCACACCACTAACACAGCACAGCGACCACCACACCACTAACACAGCACTACTACCACGTTGGTTCCAGGTGGGAGTTACTGTGGCCACTTTTGCCTGCGCGGGAGTGCATTCCCTTAGGGGTTGCGAATCTTTCCAGATCTAACATGAGATACCTTTACATATTACTTTTCATTGAGCGGCCTGCGCGGGCCACAGTAACTCCCATCCCGCCGCGCGACGGGCCACACTAACACCCAACGGGCCACACTAACACCCAACGGGCCACAGTAACAACCGGTCGCCTCGCCCCCCCCCTGTCCACGCTTCCCAGGGTAGCCCGCCTGGGCCACGGAACCCTTTATTTTCGTCGATCGTCGTGTCGTTCGTCCCCCTCGCCCCCCCCCTGTCCACGCTTCCCAGGGTAGCCCCCCTGGGCCACGGAACCCTTTATTTTCGTCGTTCGTCGTGTGTTCGTCACCACTCGCCCCCCCCCGTCCCCTCGCCCCCACCCCTTGTCCACGCTTCCCAGGGTACCCTCGCCCCCCCCCTCCCCCGTCCACGCTTCCCAGGTTAGCCCCCTGGGCCACGGAACCATTTATTTTCGTCGTTCGTCGTGTCGATCGTCCTCCTCGCCCCCCCCCCCCCACTGTCCACGCTTCCCTGGGTAGCCCCCCTGGGCCACGGAACCTTTTATTCTCTTGCACAGCTGTGTTCTAGAGCTCGGAACCCTTTATTTTCGTCGTTCGTCGTGTCGTTCGTCCCCTCGCCCTCCCCCCCCCCGCCCCCGCCCCCCTCGCCCCCCCACTGTTCACGCTTCCAGGTTACCCTCGGCCCCCCTGTCCACGCTTCCCAGGGTAGCCCCCCTGGGCCACGGAACCCTTTATTTTTGTCGTTCGTCGTGTCGTTCGTCCCCCTCGCCCCCCCCGCCCCCCTCGCCCCCCCCCCCTGTCCACGCTTCCCAGGTTACCCCTCGCCCCCCCCTGTCCACGCTTCCCAGGGTAGCCCCCCTGGGCCACGGAACCCTTTATTTTTGTCGTTCGTCGTGTCGTTCGTCCCCCTCGCCCCCCCCGCCCCCCTCGCCCCCCCCCCCTGTCCACGCTTCCCTGGGGGGTTTACCCCTCGCCCCCCCCCCCCTGTCACACGCTTTCCAGGGTAGCCCGCCTGGGCCACAGAACCCTTATTTTCGTCGTTCGTCGTGTCGTTCGTCCCCCTCGCCCCCCCCTGTCCACGCTTCCCAGGGTAGCCCCCCTGGGCCACGGAACCTTTTATTTTCGTCGTTCGTCGTGTCGTTCGTCCCCCTCGCCCCCCCCCGTCCCCCTCGCCTTCCCCCCTGTCCACGCTTCCCAGGGTACCCCTCGCCCCCCCCCCTGTTCACGCTTCCCAGGGTAGCCCCCCTGGGCCACGGAACCCTTTATTTTCGTCGTTCGTCGTGTCGTTCGTCCTTACTCGCCCTCCCCCCTGTCCACGCTTCCCAGGGTTGCCCCCTGGGCACGGACCTTTATTTTCGTCGTTCGTCGTGTCGTTTCGTCCTACCCCCTCGCCCCCACCCTCCTGTCCACACTCCCTGGGTAGCCCCCTGGGCACGGATCCCTTTATTTTCGTCGTTCGTCGTGTCGTTCGGTCCCCCCCCCCGTCCACACTTCCCAGGGTAGCCCCCCGGGGCCACTTTTTTTTCGTTGTCGTGTTCGTGTCGTTGTCGTTTGTCCCCCTGCCCCCCCCCTCTGCCCCCCAAAAGCCAGGCTTCCCAGGGAAGCCCCCCTGAGCCTCGGACACCTTTGTGCAAGAGCCAGGGCACGCGTGCCACTTGTTTTATACCGTTCTTCGCCCGCTGACTGCAGGCAGCCTGGCGACGAGAGCTGCCGGCTCCTCCCCGGACGGAGGGGGGCACCACGGTGACGAAGCAGACCCAAGGGGCCGAGCACAGGCTGGCAGCAGGGCAAGCCGAATGGGCGGTGCGGTTGCCTAGAACCGCCCGACAGGAGGGAGGAGGAGGAGGAGGAAGAGGAGGAGGAGGAGGAGGAGGAGGAGAACACCAAGGGAGAAACGGCGAGCCTGTATCGCAGTGAATGACCACGAACGGAAGCCGCCTGCTCGAGGGCGCGGGAAACTTCACATGCGTTCGATAATGCCTCGAGACTGGGACCTGTACAACCGGTCGGGGTTTGCTGCGCCGCCCTGTTGTCGCATGTGGACCGTCGCCGTGTAGCAACAGTAGACGAATATAGCGACTTGTTTGTGCGAGTCCCTCCATGCCCTCCCAAGAAGGAAATCGTTGACACGCCTGGCCCCTAAACTCTAATTGCTCGTGCCAGCGGGCTGCCTCCATCAGGACCGGGCAGCGCCAGTGGTTGCTATCGAATCGGATACCAACGTCCCCACGCAGCACAAGTACGGCGCCACCCGCTGGAACCGCCGGGCACAATTCCATCCATGAAAAAGACTGCGAAGGCATTCTGAAACCACAGCTGGTTGTACTTGCCCCTGAGGCGAGTAAGATTCTGGAACGCATGCTGGGCGGCAGCACCGAACAAAATTGGACCTATGTGGTCGCGCCACCGGCCGAGACGCCGATGGACAAGACTTTCAGCAGCTATGGCATGAAGGCTGGCGTGCACCTGGGAATGTACAGCGGCCCGGGAAGAATGCGTTCATAGGTCCCCCTGTACAGAAATGCGTCGGCCTATCAATGCATCACAGTCAGAGCTCAGCGCGACCACCGATAAGGAGTTCAACCGAGATTGCCATCGCCATATGATAGGAGCCTCGTCGCAGAGGACCGCGTCCTATAGTTTGGCAGAGATCTCAGACAGTCACACGCGTGTGTCGCGGGTCTACTCATCAATGCGCCCCACAGCGTCTGCACTTGACAGGGGCCTGTGTTCCCAGACCCCTGCCGACTCGACCGTTTCGCGACGTCGTGGGCTCCCGGAGGCTCTGGGAGCCACGAGAGCGGCCTGAGAAATCAGAAACCCTGATTCTCGATCCCTGCCCCCCCCCTCCTCTCAGGTGCGCGGCAATATGGATTGCAGATCCGTGGATCTGGCACGCGGGCGGGGGCGATGCCGGTAGAGCCTGAGTTGGCGACGGCGCGCATCCATATTGCATGGAAGCGGGACCCGTCTCTGATCCGCTCGCCCGAATCCCCGTGGCACTTCCGACTCCTCCCCCCTCGCTCAGGGGGGGGGTGGGGGGGGAAACATCGAGCTGGAGTCGGCGATGCCTCGTCGGCAGATCGCCGACAGGCCCCCGATGGCGAGCCCGCCATTCACTGGGAGGGGTGGGGCATCGGGCTCCCATCGGCGGCCACTGGGCGGTTGGAGGTCGATGCATCCCCCCATGAGCCTTGACCCCCCCCAACGTTGCCCCTGAGAACCTTGACCCACGAGCCCCGACCTCCCTCCCTCCCTCGCTCGCCCAGCACGACGCGAGGTGCCGAGGCGGTGGGAGGAGCCAGACGAGCTGCAGAAGCGTAAACTTTTGACGGTCCGCGCGGTTCCTGCGGGCAATGTCTTTATCCACATCCAGTGCGTCTTGGAGTTTCGGACACTCTTCCCAAGAAACATGAGGCGCACTGGTTATGGGTTATAATCTGCCTCCAAAAGGCTAAATAATTATCCATATCCAGTGCGCCTCGGCCTTGCGGCGCCCCTTCCAAGAAAGTCCAAGACGCACTGGATATGGACAGAAATATTGCCCGCAGTTCCGGTTCTGGGATCGGAGCTGGACCCCCTCCCTGGCGCCTGGGAGCGCGCCCCGCAGGGGGAGCCCCAACGCAGATCAACAAACATCCGCGCGGAACGCCAAGAGGTTGCCCGTCGGTCGGAAGAAGCGGGTAGAGGCACGAAGTAGGAAGGCGTTCGAGGTAGAGTGAGCGTCCGCCCGCCCCCTGAAGAGGAGGGACGAGGGAAGACCATTCGGTCCTTGAAGCAGGCAGGCGCCTGAAGTAGACTGGGACCCGAAAGTGCAGAAATACATACTCCGAGTTTCTTGATGAGCGTCGGAGGGGCCCCCGTCGCGGCGCGACGACGAGGCGAGGTTGACGCCCGTCGGGGGGTTTACCCCCTCGCGCTTATTGTCAGCCACGCGCAGAGGGGGATGGGAAGAGGGGGGAGGGCTTCTTAGAAGCGCCCCTGCTTCCTAGAAGGCGCGGGCCTCATCTGTAGATGTGTAAGGCCGGCGCCCTCTAAGAAAAAGCAGCCGCCCAAGAAGCCCTCACCCCTCCCTCCACCCCCTGGTGCGCGCCGCCCCTCAGACACCCAGAGCACTTCCTGCAAGTGCCCTGGAAACCCAAAGACAGCAGGCGGCATGCACGCCAGTCGCTGGAATCCGAACTGGACCGTCAAAATCCAGGACGCGCTCGTCAAAAAAACGTCGGCAAACCCGAGTTCCGGCTTACTCGGGTCTTGCGCTTCCCCGACTAAGAAACCCAGAGCACTTCCAGCGACTGGCGTGTGTGCCGCCTCCTGTCTTCCGCGCGGTGGCCTCCGCGGCCCCCGCCCCGGGCGCGGACGCCGCCGCCCCGCGCCGGCGGGCCCGCCGCCGTCGCTTGCCTCCGCCGGCCTGCCGCCGGCCTCCGGCCGGCCTCCCGCCGAGGACGAGCTGCCCCCGCAGGCGGGGCTCGCTCTGGAGCGCCCAACACAGGGACGGGGCCAGGGGCTCCAGCCGCGATATGTGTGTGTATATATATATATACATACAGTAGGGGCCCGACCACAAGAAACCTTCCACAGGAAACCCAACCCTGAGACCCCAGGACGTCCATTGGTTTTTGGTGTGGGAGCGTCACGCTTTCCACAGCAAAACCATTGAAACCCAAGAAACCCAGGGCACCCTGCAGGCAGGCAGGGCATTTCCTGACATGCGCCCCAACTGTATGTGTGCGTGTGTGTCTCACGGTGAGGCGAAAATTTCCTGGCGTATATTTTGAGGGGCCATCCACGTTGCCGAATTCTGCCCCGGACCCACCATCATTTTCGCCTTCGGCGCCCTGCGACGCACCACCTTCAGATCGGTACCCCTGCGATGAGCACTTCGTGCCATTGAGCATCGGCATCGGCACTGGCAGCCTCCAGCAGGGACTGGCGTCATCTCTCTCTCATCTGATTCATTCGCTGTTGCCGCCTTTATCTTCAGCATTTCCTTGAGCACCCTCTCCGCCGTCTGCCTGGTGTTCTCGTGCGGCTCCTGATCGCAGCACCATCCACTCTCTCTCTCTCTCTCTATCTCTCTCTCTCTCTCTCTCTCTCCTCTCTCTCGATCCCTCCCTCCCTCCATTCCCCTTCTCATCCCCAACCCCCTCCCCCTCCCAGTCCTCCCCAACAGTCCTCCCCGCTCCCCTCCCCCATCCACCACCAGTCTCCTCCATGGATCCCTCACTTCGCCCTGTGCCCCTCCTCCCCCCCCATCCCCCTCCGCCTCCTCTCCTCCTCCTTCCCTCCTCCTCCTCCTCCTCCTCCTCATCATTACCTCCCTCTCCCTCCTCCATCCTCCCTCCTCCCTCCTCCCTCCTTCTCTCCTTCCTCCCCCTCCTCCCTCCTCCACCCTCCTCCCTCCTCCCTCCCTCCTCCTCCCTACTCACCTCCTCCCTCCTCCCTCCTCCCTCCTCCCTCCTCCTCCTCCCTCCTCCCTCCTCCCTCCTCCCTCCCTCCCTTCTTCCCTTCCTCCCTCCCTCCCTCCTCCCTCTCCCTCCTCACTCATCCTCTCCTCCTCCTCCTTCCTCTCCTCCTCCTCCTCCTCCTCCTCCTCCCCCTACAGGAACAAAACAATGACATTCACAGACGTTCTCGCTGGCCCTCGCGGATTTCCTGGGTCGGCGCTCACCCACCTCCCCGGCACGCGGAGAAAGAGCCAGGGGCGGCGCCGGAGGCGCTGCCAGGTGGCCCCAGCGCCGATCCAAGAAATCCGCGCGGACCTCCGACAAATGATGCTTACAGTAGGGGCCCGACCATAAGAGACCTTCGAAAAAACCCAACCCTGAGACCCCAGGAACTCCATCGATGTTTGGTGTGGGAGCGTCGCACTTTCCATGGCAGAGCCATCGAATCCCAAGAAGCCCTGGGCACCCTGGAGGCAAGCAGGGTGTTTCTTGGCATGGGCTTCTGCTCTTCGACTCCCCCTTCCACCTCCATCTCTCGGAGCTGCAGTGCTGGATTTTGCAGGACCTGGATCAGTGATGTCTACCGCGGGACGCCCCCCCCTCCCACCCCAGTCCCTGATATTTGTCGCGCCACCGTGCCGCTGGGCACGGAGATGGCGTGTTCTCAGGTCCTTTGCCTAATCCCATTAGCGCTCCTGAGGACTCTTTGAGGGGCTCGCTCACTCACTCACAAGCCATGCGACGTCCTGCGCGTGGGCAGAAAAACAAGGTCAAGCAATCACAGGCAGCAGAGGGTTAAACGCTGCGCCGGCTACATTGATCAAGAGGAGGAGGAGGAGGAGGAGGAGGAGGAGGAGGGGGAGGAGGAGGAGGAGGAGGAGGAGGAGGAGGACGACGAGGAGGAGCCCAGCGTAGAGGGAGGAGGAGGAGGAGGAGGAGGAGGAGGAGGAGGAGGAGGAGGAGGAGGAGGAGGAGAAGGAGGAAGCCACGGGCTGAGGGGGGCTGGGCCGTCGTCGCCCTCGTCGGTCGCCCCCTCGTGCTCGGGCTCGCGCGCCGCGGGCCATCGCTCGGCGCCGCGGCCGCGGCAGGCGCCCCGCCAGGACGCCTCGTGAAGGCGAACCATCCTGGCATCGGCGCCAGCGGCAGCAACGCGCTCAGGCGCGCACGCTGCTCCGAGTCCTCTCTGCCGCGAGGACCCTCGCGGAACACCACAGCGCCCAGCCCGTCGACAAGATGACGCAGGACTGGAAGCACCAGCGCGCCTGGGAGCAGGCGACTGGGAGCAGCCACACTTCTCGTGGTCATCCCGTCGGAGCTCAGCCATGGCCGTGGAGGTCGGGATCTCAGACGCGAAGACGCAGGACGTACGGGAAGAACGACGACCAGAGCTGGCAGCAGGACCGCGACGGCCACGACCAGTACGACGGCAACGCAAGCACCCGTCACAACAGCCACTGCCAGCAGCAAGACGCCAAGGACGAGCATGCTCACCACTTCACCCACCACGGCGAAGACACCCACAAGAAAGGTTCACGGGCTCGCTCCACACATCGCACAACGACACGGACGCAGAGCAGGAAGCACTACGGCGCGCACAACTTCTTCGACGGCTTCCAGTTCTCCAAGAAGCAGCGCGAGATCCTCGACCAGGTCCTCCCTGCCGACGACGTGCGCATGCAGTCCCACGAGAGCTTCTCCACGCCCCCGCTGGAGGAGGACATGCGCCGCCTTTGGGTGACAACCAAGCGCGGACGCATCGCTCGGTTGGCAGACCAAGCTCAGGGCGCACGCGCCGTCGGCGTCGACGATGCCAAGATCGTCGCAGAGCTGTCTGTCAACAAGGCAATGCTCCTCCTCACGTTGTCTCCCGACGAGCGGGTGCACTACTACCGCCGATGCATCGACACCACGGTCAGGCGAAAGAATGCGCTCAAGGACGACATCAGGAAGATGCAGACCGAGCTCGACAACACGGAGGGCAGCTTGAGGATACTACGGGCTCTACTACAGGAGTCGAAGTTTAAGAGGGACGATGCCACACCCGACCTCGAGTACGACGACTTCTACAGCGACAACGACGAGAGCGAGAAGGACCACCACAACAGGCGCAGGACTCGGACACAGACACCTCACCCACGACAGCGCGAAGATCATCGACCCCAGCAGTACGCAGCACCAGCAGCAGCACCACTTCGACAGCAGGACGACCCACACCAAAAAGGTCACAAAGAGCTGCTCGCGATGATCACGGACCTCTCCAAAAAGGTGGACCAGCAGCGACAACACACGGGACTCCATCAGCACCACCTAGCTCACCTCCACCAACAAGCTGATCTCCGACAATCCGAGCACCGCGAACAGTTGCAGGAGGAGTTTGCGCGCATGGAAGCACACACGTCTCAGAAGGCCTTCAACGAGCTTCATCTCGAACTACAGCACCACGAGCAACGACTCCAGCGCCGCTTCCAGGAGGAGATAGACGAGATCAACGTGCGCAACCGCCACCTAGAACATCAGCAAGCACAACGGTTCCTACGACAGTCCGAACAACGATGCCAGGAAGATGAAGCTGAACAGGCACATCGCATGAAGACCGAGCTCGAACAGCACCAACTACTTCACGACGCCGCACGCGGTCACCTTGCACGGCGGGAAGCAGTACAGCAACACGAACTACGGGAGGCTAAGCCATATTGGCTCCAGCATCTAATTCGTGAATCCGAGCACCGCCTTCAACAGGAGGAAGCTCAGTGCGCTCACAACCTCCTACTTCAGCACGAGATGAGAGGGCAGCAACAAGAAGACGCACTACGACTGGCTCAGCAACGACAGCTTCATGAAATCAACTGCAGGGCTCATGCGGAATCATCGGCACTCATGCAAGCCAAAGAGAAGATCCTCGAGGAGTACGGTGAACTGCGGGCGCAACAACACGAAGCAGCCACGATTCGCACCGAGCACCAGCACGAGCGAGCCCGACTCCAAGGCGAACGTGCCAACCTACACCTCACCGAGCAGCAGCTCCACGACAGGTACATCAACCACTTGGCGACGACCGAGGAGATGCGAATAAAGGAAAGGGAGGAAATGCAACGTGAGTTTCGACAAGCCGAGCTCCTTCATGACCCTCTTGATCTTGAACTGTTGCAAGAATTGAACACGAGGTTCAGCGAGAGAGACGAGGAGGAGAACAGACAGCAGGCGTTAGCCGACTCAGAGGAGAAGCGCATCCACCGCGAGATCGAAGGCGCCCTCACCGCGATCATCCCAGGCCCCTACGAGCTGCCTCACCCACACGCCGACATCTACCTCGAGCAGCTACGACAGATGAGCTCTCCACCGAACGCAGCTCATTCCACGTCCAACTCAGACGCATGGAGCTTACGAGACCTCGGCTTTGCAGCCGCACCACCCACCTCACCACCCGCCCCAAACCCCGACCACACCCACGACAGAACGCCCACACACCCTCCAGCCAGTATCGCCCCACTCAGCGATGCCGACCACGACAAGCCCTCTGAAGCACACCACGGCGATACACAAGCATACCAATCGAGCTCTCCGAGATCTTCGTGCTCTCCCACGCCCATCGCCGACGACGGCTACCTCTCTCAGCACGACGACGGACAGTCTACGCCCATTCCTGACCTTCATCACGACTCCGACCTCGAAGGCACCGACACCCCCATCCCAGCTGCGCAGGCCACTCCCCCCACCCCACACATCATCTTCCCCGAAGTACGTGCCATGTCCGCCCCCCCCGACAAGAGATCGACACCCGATGACCAACAGCGATCCACGCCCCTTACCACAATTCTCATCGATCTCAGCGACGACGAGCACGAAGTACCCACCACGCCCAAGACTCGACCGATCACCAGCATCACCCCAACCCAAGCCTACAGCCCCATCATCCCTCCACCCAGATTCCATATGGGAACGCCCGACAGGGCCCATTCAGCGCCACCATCACGAACCCGATCGGCCCTCAAGAGACAGGACTCCACATCACGACCACCGCGGAAGGTCCGTATCCACGACAGCGGTGACGGCTTCGTGGACATATCCGACCGCGTCCCTCTCCGTGCCGATCCCGACGATGAAGGATCGGACACCGCGCTGCGTCCAAAAAACTAGATACGAACGACCCCGATGAGGGCGCTCTGGCTCATCGGACCCGTCGAAAAAGACCAGAGCAACAGGCCCCTGGGCGGCCTCAAGCGACCATACGTAACTATCGGCCCAGCGCCACACAGCATCACAATGTCACAGACGCAGCAACGAACCTTGCGACCCCTGCGGTGCAGGTAACTTGCAGCTTCAGACACGCACACCCACCCCGCCTTCCACTAGGGAAGCCTACGACGACTGACCTCGACAGGCTGACACCCGCTTTGGGGACTGCGGATCAGCACCGAGCGCCAGGCAACATAGACAGCCGACTCTGCCACCATCCCTCCGCGACAGCAGACTCCACTGGCTTGCAGACAGCAACCAACCTGACGACCCAGGGGGTGCAGGTGACTTGCACTTCTGACAGCCACCTTCCGACACACAACACCAGTCCACGCGCACTGACTCCTGCTTTGG